CTTTTGAGCTAAAGAAACCAAGACCCTGCAGGCTCAAAAGCAGCTCCCTCCAGCCCCCTTAACTACCTAGAAGAATTTGAATTAGGGACCTTGCCCATAATAAGAGATTATCAGAGATAGCTATTTTTGACCCATCTATAGTGTATATAGCAAATCTCTCAATTGCTGAACATCTGCTCTTATCCTCTTCCTTCCTCCCCTATGAAGCTCCAAGGTGATTCTTAGCTCAGAATGTCACATATACCTCATTTTCCCTTTGTCTTTGAACCTGTGATGTGTGGGGGGTTCCCATGTGTACCTATGTATTAAATTTGCTTATTTTCTCTTGTTAATCTGTCTCAAGTCTATTTGATTATTAGACCAGTAAGAAGAAACCTGAGGGCAGAGGAAACTTTCTGCTTCCCATACTATGAAAGAACTGTGTTGTTAGGTAGACGATCTACTATATGTGAAAAAGTTAGCATACTTGCAAATACAAAACTCTGTTGCAAAGAACTGTTTCTAGTATAATATATGTGTATTAAGAACTTAGGAAAATGAGGAATTTGGTAGGCTGGAGGAATTTGGTGTTTTCAGGAGGCATCTGCAGCCTGGACCATACCCACAGAGACTCCCCCTGACCCCAACATCTGATTAAGCTTGACACTGAGTTTGGGTAGGTGAGGAAGGGAGGAGAATGAGGTCATTGTCATTTATGGGACCTGGGTCAAGAGTACAAATGGAGGCCAAGATACCATATCCTAACTATTGAAAACTAACTGCTTAAAAACAAACTGTCAAAGAATAAACTCTATTCTCCTATTTTGCCCAATTTATTTTCATAATGATCTGAAAGGCCAAGTTCAAATTTACAGTTCACCAGATTTCCCTACTGGAATGCAGACATGGGGATAAATGGTTTCTGCCTACAGCTTACCCCATTCTTTTCTTACGCAGTTCTGTTCTGCCACTCTGTAATGGGGTACAAAATGGGGGTCCCCAAAATATAGGAGAAATTCCCGACAGCCCTCAGTTGGGGAAAGGGGAGCAGTTGATACTGCTTAAGAAACTTTACATAACAAAAGGCAAGTTAATAAATGTGCTGCTGCTCAGAGCAAAAGGTGTGCTGACTTTCAAAATGTATTGTGACTCATGACATAACCAGGAAAGCTTATACAGCACCTGTGCAAGAGGCAGGGAGGTGGATTTCCATGTATCACTGAGAACTCTTGCCCTGACTAAAGATGGCAGCCAAAAGAAGGTAAAAAATACAGGGGAACTGGCAAAACTAGTCCACAGCAGGAGGGGCTGGATATGAGGACATGTAGGAAGTCCCAGGCCAAGCATTTCAAATAAGGTTGGACTGAAAAAGAAGGGAATTCCACCATGAGAGCTGAAAGAGTAGGGAGGCAGCTTTGAGGAAGAAGCCATGAAGAAGGGGGATTTGGCCATGAGGTCTGAGAGAGGAAGCAGCAAGCAGCTCGCAGTTTGTAGTGAAGCGGACTGCCATGAGGACTGGTGTGTAAAGGAGAAGCCATGGTGGCTGGGAGGCAGGATTCCTCCATGCGTCCTCTGGTCTGGGGTAGTGAGGAAGGCAGCCATGGGGGCTGAGGAACTGGTGAAGGAGCCAGCTAATGGAACCGTGCAGGGATGTGGCAAAACCAACGGAGCTGTGCGGGAACCTGCCTAACCAAGCACGGATTTGCGAAGGATGCTTTGGAACTGAACTGTGACCAGAAATGTAGACTTCTGTTTCTCTAAGCACATACAGAGAAGTTACTCCCTTGGGATGTGTGCCTCCCTGGACTCTACCACGACCCAGTGTGCACAGCACATGTTTCCTGAACTACTACATGGAGGCTGAGGACAATGTTCCCCAGGTCCTGAAGAAGAGAGTTGCTGCAAGAGGGTGAAGATTCTGAAACCCACAAATGTACCTTCCAGAGGGGATGGAGAACTGTCTGTGCAGCTGGCTTAAGAACGGGTAAGAATATGGGGAACTTTTGGTCATATTCTTGGATTATAGCCTGGTGGGGAGTAATGGAAGTGCTGGGTCTTATGGGAGAACAGGGCTCTGAGCAAGAGTGCTCTCAGCATCCCCAAGGCTGGAATTCTGTAAAGAAAAACCTGTTTCCTTCCACACTAATTGTCGGGGCATGTATCAAGGTGATACATGGATGGGCCCTGGTTTGGCAGTTACAACTCTCCCTTTTCACTCTGGCAAAGAGCAGCTCCTTGGCTGCCCCCTAGGCACAGGGGGGCACACCAGTGGTGCTGGTTGCCTGGACCCTGGGAAAGCCCATGCAGTTTCTGGAAGCAGACTTGGGGCCATTTGGATGGGGAAATCCAGGATCCTAGGTATCCAGAACATAGTCTAGAAGGAAGGGCATGAGTTCTGGGTGGCCATGCCCCTTGAGCCTGTGGACTCTGTACCTTGTAGGGTTTCGTATGCCTTGTAGAGCTGAAGCAGGCCTGCCTGATGCTCGTATCTAATGTTGGGTCAGCTTATGTTATGAATATGCCTTGACCACCACCTGCCAATCCCTTAATTAAATAGTCACCAAATATTCTCGAGTGTACCATCAATTTCCTTGTGTAATTACAGATGATATACAAGCTCTCATTTCCTTATATGAGATTTACAGTAATTGTGAACTTGATGTAAGCCTTGAGGGAAAGTTTAACTTTCTAGGCAAAGAAAAATAGGATTTAGAAGTTAAAGGGAAAATAAAAAAAGAAATTAAAGGGGATTGAAATGCTATAGGATTTAGCATTTCACATATTTCAAATATTTATTTGATGTTTTATTTGACACAGCTTATAGGCATTCTTCTTTCTGACGTTATTCCTAATTGCACACCCCCTTGTGTTCTGTCATATTGTTTAAGTGTTGACAATGGACCTGCCACATACCCTATGGTAACGCACTTCTTTTCCTACTTTTCTTTAATGAAGCTTCAGTAAACTTTTTATCCATATACTACATTGTGAAGTTACTTGGCTCTCACTTGATGGAAATGCATCACTTACTAAGGTTTTCTCCAGGCTTCTCATTAGCTTGAGATAATTATGATAAGACTATTTAGTGCTGTAGCAATCCTAAACACGAAGGCAAATTCAGGCCCTGAGATTCTGTAGCAATATTCTGTTTTCAGTGAGTATGAACCAGAATATATTTATATTATTTTTTTAAGTCACAGAAACATAAAACACAAGCATTTTCAAGTTACTCTAAATAAAATAGGCTCCCCTCCCTTCTCTCAGCACATCTGCTAACCTGAATTTGAGAAACATGAATTTTCGGAACTGAATTGATGTGAGAGGTGAGTGAAAAGGGAAAATTATGATGACTCAAAGATTTTTTGGTCTGGGCCACTAGTTATGGGACTCTATTTACTGAAATAAGGAGTAAAAAAGAAGAAGAAAGGATGAGTTTGTACAGTCTCAATCTGAGTTCTGCAGTAGATCCCCTTTCTGGTAGACTGAACTGCAGGTATAAAACTAGAGTTCAACAACAAAAAACCAAGGTCAAGGACTGAAACCAAGAGAATAGATGTGGTCATTTAGTGAGGGCAGCATGCAACAGAGAAGATGGCCACAGAAAGCTTAGCCGTGGAGAACACAGTTTCTGTAGAGGAGCAAAGCAGGGAGAAAGGACAAAGCCAGCCCCATCTGCCTAGCAGGCCTAGGACGTTTTTGAACATGACTGCCATTTTACCTGCCTGAGTTTGTCCCCAGCACTTACTCTCTATACTTTCTTCTCTTTGTGAATTCTTTCACAGCCCACGTCTCTGACCACCCTAGTGAGGGGTAGAGGTAAGGAAATCAAAACAGAGGCTTTCTTCAAGAATGAAGTGGTTATTGCAGTCAGATACTCTTAAAGGCGAAGTAAGATAGAGACCAAAAAGAATGAGTCATATCTGATGATTAAGAAGTGCTGATCGGAGGTGAGAGCAGTTTCATTGGAGTATGGGGACAAAGTCTGATCAAAGCATGTCTATGGCAATATAGAATCTAAAGAACTTGAGACACGTGGACATAAAACAAAGGCGGGGGAATGGTAAGGGAGGGGGTGTGCAGGGTGGAGGGGAATGAAGGGGGGGAACCACAGGACAACTGTAAAGGCATAATCAATAAAATATATATTTTTAAAAAGCATGTCTAAGAGTAAAGAAGAGTAAAGGGGAAATGAGGAAATGTAGCTGATAGTTCAGGACTCATTTGCTTTGCTTTGAAAATGTAGCTAGAGGCAATTGCAGGAATGGAGGGCTTGGAAACAGTGTAAGAGCTTTGGGCTTTGGACTATCAATGAGGCATCAGGTGGGGAAAGACAAGGGGCAACAGGTAGTTCACAAGTATAGATCCCTAAGGAGTGAAGACAGATCAAGTGTCAAATAAAAAAGAGATTTCTTCCCAGTTTGGAGAGGGGAGTTGGGTGGAGTTATAGACAAGGCTGAGGAATTAAGGGAGCTCACACATCACACTGAATGGCCGTGATTTTCTCTGTAGGACCCTCGGGCAGGGTCCACTGCAGAGACCTAGAAGGGCGGGAGTGGAGCAAATGACTTAGGGAAAGTCCTGAATATTTGGGGAAGAAATCTTTCCAGGAAAATAAAAAAGGTTACTGAGAGGTATTGAGGGTATTTGACCATGAATTTCATCTCAAAGCTTTTCCTTCCAATTCTACCTTGCAGGGTGTAAGGCGCAGAGAAGGCAGATGAGGGTGGACTTGAACTTAAATTCATTTCCCCGATGGTTCCTCAAAGGCCAGCATGTTCGTATTCTAAGACGTTATTCTGTTGCTTCAGCATCCCGAAGCTTTTAAGGAAATCGAGCCATTTTAACAGAAGCGGGTGGGAGTTGGGGAGAAACCTGGAGAGGAGATGCGGGGATTGGTACAACATTGCTTCTCTCCGTATTTGTCTGGAGGGATGACAGGCGGTCGCTCCTTGTCCAGAGGCCGCTCCCCGGGGTGGAGGAAAGGGCCCTGCCCGGGAGCGACCAGGCGGAAGCACCTCTGTCATTGGTCCAGCAGCCACTTTCACCTGCGCGGAGCCCAAAGCCCGAAGCCCAGTCTTGGAGGCCGTGGTCCTCAGCACAAGTGGTCCCCCGCCCTCGGCCAGGCAAGATGCCCCTGGGGCTGCGGGTGAAGAAGAGAGGCAAGTCCAAGGAGACCTACCGGCTTGTGGAGGGTGAGCAGGCGGGCGCTTACGGTGGCAGCCCCCCGGCACCCCCGGTTGCCCGACCCAGGCTGGTTTTCCACACGCAGCTAGCCCACGGCAGCGCCACGGGCCGAGTGGAGAGTTTCTCCAGCATTCAGGAGCTCTACACCAAGATCGCAGGCGTGTTTGAGATCTCGCCTTCCGAGGTAAGGGCCAGGTGCTCACGATCAGCCTCTCGCGCCCTCTCCCCTTTCTCCCACGCGCGCCGCTTGCGGAGGAAATCGGCCCGCGGGTTGAACCCCTCGCTGGACACGGTGGGAGCCCGGGGCGGGGAGCCCGGGGCGGGGAGCGCCCCAGGGGAAGGGAGAGGGGTTTACTGGGGAGGCAAAAAGTAAGTCCCAGGAGCTCAGAAAGTCGCATTCCCGGTGCTCGGAGATCCGGTTTCTTGGAAACTGGGGCGATCTTTCTTTCCTACGCAAAAGAGCTGCTGTAGTATTCAGCAGGTGGGGACTGAGCGCGTTCCCAGGGTCCAGATCTGGCAGGGAGAAGGAGTGCTCTCAGCCTATCTGGACTTCATTCTCCTGCTTCCTTTTCGGAGGCGAGGGGACAACGCTGAGCATCTCCCAGATTAAGTGGGTGGGGCGGGGTGGGGAGAAGGAACTGCCTTTCCGGCCCCACTGCAAGGGCCCCACTTTGCCCCAATTTCCCCCTTATATGTACCAAATACCAGAAACCTTTTGGTAGTATTTCCAATAAGTTTATTATACCAAAGGTGGATAAGTTAGAGAGTTATACTTAAGTACGTGGGACTGGTTAACCAAATTTTTTAGAGGGGAAAATCAGCTCTAAAATTTTACACTATATGCTTGAAAAGGGACCGAGGTTTGCCTTAATTAGGTTGAACTAGAGTTTCATATCACCGTGATTTCGAAAGCACTAGTTTATGTTGACGTTTGAGTGATCACTTCATTTACGCTTGCCCAAGCGAACCGCAAAAATAGGTATGAGAAGTGAGTCCAAGAAAGTATTCTGTCCACATTTCAAGGAAAAACACACGATCTCTTTGTCCTGGAGTGCAGGGCACTGATGTTGAGTAGCACCGAGCAGCCTTTGGATATCTGTTCTTTAATGTTGTTTATCAGGTCTGTTCAGGCGAAATTGAGGTCAAGGCAAAATTCCAAGAGGAGATGAAAGAGAGCTTGAAGTGTAACCATTTGTTCTTTCAGGGTTCCCACGCCCTGAGGGGTAAATCACAAACCTATTTGTGAATTTTTGATATTGGTATAGAGTAGTAACAATAATAACTCATGTTTGTAATAGGACATTTCAATCCAAAGAACGCCTTTGTAGGAATATGTCCTTTTGATCTTTTCTAGGAAAGGTAGGTGGCAGGTAGTTTGCTGCGTCCCTAAGGGCTGATAAACCTGAATGTGGAGCCAGGTTCTACCGCTTACTGGCTGTGTGGCCTTGAACAAATTTAACTTCCTTCAGTTTCCGCTGGCTATAAAATAGAGATAAGGACATCTGCTGTGCAGGGTGACTGTAAAGATTGGAGTTTCTACAGAAACTGTAGGGAATTAGAACCAGTCGTCCCAAGATGTGCCTCTGCGGTATGCAGATTGTTTTGAGCTAAACACAGCCAAGACCCATCCAGCTCAACAAAAACTTCTGACCTCTTTTAACAGCCTAGAAGAACTTGAATTAGGCAGTTATTTTCTCTCGTTTATCCCTCTCATGTCTGTTTGACTGCTAGACCAGCAGAAAGAACCTTGAGGATAGAGGAAAGTTTCATCCTCCCCCACCAATCCAATCAGATTGCATGGTCAGTACTTAACAAATTGTAACTAATCTCATTAATACCTAACAGTTAGATTAGAATACAAAGTGATTGGACCTTGGCCCTGTTCAACGTTTTCAATTTTGAATAAACTGACTTGCAAGATAAAATTCCAAGATAATATAATCAAGGTGTTTTTTTTGTACTTTATCAAAGTTCATAAACTTTTATAACCACAAATACCTGTGAGCACTAGTATGTTTATGTATATAACAGAGATAATGGGAGTTTTCAATGTGGATTAAAAAAAGTTAAGTATACTCATGATAAAGTACTATTGGTGTTGATATAATAGTATGGTATGTCATAAGTATCTGCATAACTTTGAAACAGAAGTCATTTATTAAAATAAAATGCATATCGATAAAATGAGATCCCATTTCTCATCCCATTCCCTCCTCAAGAGAAATAGTGATGTAAGCTTTTGAGATGTCGCTGGGAAAAAAACAAAAGATTTTCCCCCTTAATAGATCATGTACAAGGTTAACTCAGAAGTCATGCCATTTCTCCAGAGATGCAGCTAGACGGATATAAATAGCACTGTATAAAGAGCTCTTTACGGAGGAAATAAGGGACAGCTATGTCTGGTGCAGCTGACGGCTAGTATGAAAGTCTACAGAGTGATCATTTTATTCTTACCATAGCAGAGAGGCAAGGGTTCTTTTCATTTTACAGTTGAGCTAAGCGAGCCTTTGAGCACCTTGTCTAGAGTCATTGGACTGGTATGGGGCAGAATTAGGATTTGAATCCAGGTTTTCTGATTCCAAGTCCACTACACAGCAACTGTGAGATTCTTGGTAACTGGATTCAAATTCCAAATACAAACCCAGAAAAGGTTTTTTTAAAAAAATCAAATGGTGTCTTCAATGAAAGCTTCAGACTTACATTGCCTCGAAAAAATCCTGTTGTGAAGGGGACAGTTCTGGATATTATTTATTTTGTGGTCCTTGAAGGAGGAAGCTAATGAGGGAGGAAGCACTTGCAGGGTGCCCTGTGATCATTACTTTGAAATAGGTGGCCCATTATGCAAAAATCCCTTACAGCTGACATTGTTTTTATTAAACAAGGAAACGAGTAATTCTGTAAAAAGAAAGTAAATTAATCTCGTCTAAAAGAACAGTTAACTCATAAAAATGTATAATATCATTTTTTAAATATTCAGGTTATATAAATGAGTCAAACATTAATTTCTTGAGCTGTAGTCATAAAATTTATTAAGTTAGCATTTTGAATAATTGGCCATTGTAGTTATTTACCAAGTAGTTGGTGCCATGACATGTTTTATTGCTTTTCTATTACAGGAAAAGATTGTAGTGAAAGATAAGGAATTGTGAGAGCTTTTTAATAAAAACATTTTTTTTGGTTCATAACATCTATATATTTAAAATTTTTTTCTCTCCTTTAATTTAATTTATTGGGGTGACACTGGTTAAAAAATTCTACAAGTTTCAGGTGCACAATTCTACAACACATCACCTGCACACGATATTGTGTGTTTACCAACCCCAGTCAAGTTTTCTTCTATCCCCCACTTCCTCCCTTCCCCACAGTCCCCCACCTTCTTCCTGACGTTCAACATACTATTGTTCCTGTCCATGAGTTTTTCTTTTCTTACTCTTTTTCTCCCTCTGCCTCCCCCAGGTCCCCTTAACCTTCTAGTAGCTGTCATACTGCTCTCTATCTATGAGTCTGTCTCTATTTTGCTGGTTAGTTTATTGGATTCCACATATGAGTGAGATCGTATGGTATTTGTCATTCTCTGATTGGCTTATTTCACTTAGCATAATGTTCTCCAGGTCCATCCATACTGTTGCAAAGGGTAAAATTTCCTCCTTTTTTATGACCAAGTGGTATTCCATTGTGTAAATATACAATAACTTTTTTACCCACTCATCTGCTGATGGACACTTTGGCTACTTTCAAAGCTTGGCTATTGTAAATAATGCTGCAGTGAACACAGGGGTGTATATATTCTTTTGAATTAGTGTTTTGGTTTTCATGAGATAAATTCCCAGAAATGGAATCACTGGATCATAAAGAGTTTCATTTTTTATTTTTTGGTGGCATTTCCATACTGCATTCCCACCAACAGTGCATGAGGGGTCCCTTTTTTCCACATTCTCTCCAACACTTGTTTATTGATTTATTGATGATAGGATTCTGATAGGTGTGAGGTAATACTTCATTGTGGTTTTATTTACATTTCTCGGATGAGGGATGTTGAGCATCTTTTCATATACCTATTGGCCCTCTGTATGTCCTCTGTGGAGAAGTATCTATTTAGGTCTTTTGCCCTTTTTTAAAATTATATTGTTTGGGTTTTTATGATGTTGAGTTGTATATGTTCTTCATAAATTTTGGATATTGACCCTTTATCAGATGTTCCAGCAAATATATTCTCCCATTTAGTTGGTTGTCTTTTCATGTTGTTGATGGTTTCCTTTGCTATGCAAAAAGTTTTTAGTTTGATGGAGTCCCACTTGTTTATTTTTTCTTTTGTTTCTTTTGCCTGAGGAGGTATATTAAAAATATTGCTATAAGAAATGCTCCAGATTTTACTTCCTATGCTTTCTTCTAGGATTTTTATGGTTGGAAGTCTAACATTTAAGTCTTTAATCCATTTTTCTTTAATCTATTTTGAGTTTATTGTGTATGGTATGGGAAGGTCTTGTGTTATAGGTTGGTATCAGCTGGCATGATTACTCCAATTTTGTCCTTCTTTCTTAAGATTATTGCAGTTTTTCAGGTCTTTTGTGGTTCCATATGAATTTTTGGATTATTTGTTATAATTCTGTGAAATACGCCATTAGTATTTTGATAGGAATCACATTAAATCTATAGATTGCTTTGAATAGTATGGACATTTTAACCATGTTATTTCTCATAATCCATAAGCAATCCAGAGATGCTTCCATCTCTTTGTATCTTCTTCAATTTCTTTCTTTAGTGTCTTATAATTTTCTGAGTACAGGTCTTTTCCATTCTTGGTTAAATTTATTCCTAGGTATTTTATTCTTTTTGAAGTTGTGAATGGTATTGTTTTCTTGGTTTCTTTTTCTGATAGTCCGTTATTGGCTTATAAAAATGCCACTGATTTCTGGACATTTATTATGTATCCTGAATTTACTGAATTCATTTATCAGTTCTAATAGTTTTTTTGGTGGAAGCCTTTGGGTTCTTTATATACAGTGTCATGTCATCTGCAGATAGTGACAGCTTTCTTCTTTCTTTCCAAATTGGATGGCTTTTGCTTCTTCTTATCTGATTAATGTGGCTAGGACTTTTAGTACTATGTAGAATAAGAGATGTGAAAGCAGTCACCTCTGTCTTGTTTCTGATTTTAAGGGGAACAGTTGTAGTTTTTGCCCG